AAAAATTGCTATTAATATTCATAGTACTAATTTAAAATTAGTAATTAGTTCTAGGATTAGTAATTAGTCCTAGAATTACTAATTACTAAAATTTGTCCTAAATTAATTAGTAAATAATTAATAAAATTGTTTTCAAATTTCTCATCAATTTATTAATTAATTATTGTTATATCGATATCTACACAGTAGCGATTCTTGTATACGTTATCGTGCAAGGCAGAAGCATTAAATAGAAGAGGAAATTGAGGAGGAAACATGAGATGAATATTCCAGGGAAGTAATAAAAATGTCGCATAACAGTTACGTTGACAGTCATCTGCTAGATTCAGCAATGAATAAAAAGGACGAAAATCCTGCAACTTTTTCCAGCAACGTCCGCAGCTACATTCGTCGCATTATACATGCACACACATTCTCGCACCCTCGGACAGCATGAAATATTAAGATAAATGTATTACGCTGGTCGAAGAGCGTCCTGAAAAATAGCGTGTCACTCTTCAGAAATAAATGAATATCTTAACCGCAGGACCATCAATCTTATCGCTTATCGACCGGTTTATACGTGTATCCCCGTTCACGCTAATACGTTTCAATTTCAACGTCGGGCCACACAGTGATCTCGCACAGCGAGTCCTTTCCTTTTGCTTCGCGCCACCCTTTGAAACGCGTTTTCCCGCGGAGAAGTCGACGAAGCTTCTGTCTTACCTGTTAATATCGAAATCGATGATCAAAGGCACGTTATTTGTGATCCATCATTCGGAAGTAGCAATTTTCTGGCTGCACGAGGCATAAAACCACGAGGATTTAGGGTCATTTTGCTTTCGTCACGCGAATGTAAATTATACACGATGCATAATTCACTGTGATAAGAGGATTCGAGGAAGGAGACGATATAATTCCTGGAAAACAAGCCAATAGGACATGGTTAGGTTATTAGCTGAATTAGGGCATGATGATATTAAGGTCGAAAGAGATAGACACGCTTGCGACTATATCGAGGGATTCCATGGTTCAGAATTGGTCAATTAGATAACTTCTGAGACTCCAAAGTTTGGACTCTAGAGACGTGAACCTGGGGTCTAGGATGCAGAACTTCTGATGTCAAACATCGTGTCTTAAACACTGGATTCTGTCAAGGTTCTAGACTCTAGGTCTTCCAGATATGTATTTTAAGCTTTGGACCTCGAATCTGTGTTTTAAAGCTTTGTAATCGAGATCTAGAGGTAAGTAACTATAGTATAGTGATTTTTCAGAGTTCTGGGCTCAGAAGATTCAAGGTTACACTTGGTAGGGACAATATGTAACGAATTCTAGGTCTCGAGGAACTCGGATCTCAAATTCATTACTGCAGGCTACAGTGCAATGATTTTTCTAGCTTTGGGTTCATGGATTTCGAAGTTCCACGTGATATACGTAAGCTAGATATAGCAAATCTTGGGAGTCAGGGTTCCCAAGTTCGAGGTCCTTTCAGGGTTTAGAGTTCCTCAGTTTGAGATCTCTCAGGACTCAAAGTTTCTCAATTCAGAGTTCAATTAGGGCTCAGAACTCCTAACTTCAGAATTTCCAAGTTCAGCTAGGACTCAGAGTTCCTAATTTCAACATTTTCTCAGTACTCAGAGTTCTTAAGTTCAGTGATCTCTCAGTGCTGAGAGTTCTTAAGCACTGAGACTCTGAACTTACAATTCCTCATGTTCAGAGATCTTTAAGTTCTCTCAGGGCTCAGTGTTCACAAATTTAGCGACCTCTCAGCACTCAGAGTTCCTAATTTCAACATTTTCTCAGTACTCAGAGTTCTTAAGTTCAGTGATCTCAGTGCTGAGAGTTCTTAAGCACTGAGACTCTGAACTTACAATTCCTCATGTTCAGAGATATTTAAGTTCTCTCAGGGCTCAGTGTTCACAAATTTAGCGACCTCTCAGCACTCAGAGTTCCTAAGTATAAAATTCCCATTGGGTCCACAATTCCAAAGCTCAAATTTCTCTCAAGTCTCAGACTTCCTAACTTCAGAGATCTCTCAGTCCTCGGAACTCCTAACTTCAGAGATTTCTCAGCCCTGAGAAGTCCTAAATTCAGAGATCTCTCAGTTCTCAGAGCTCCTAACTTCAGAGAATTCTCAGTCCTGAGAACTCCTAAATTCAGAGATCTCTCAGTCCTGAGAACTCCTAAATTCAGAGATCTCTCAGTTCTCAGAACTCCTATCTTCAGAAATCTCTCAGCCTTCGGAACTCCTAACTTCAGATATCTCTCAGTCCTCAGAGCTCCTAACTTCCCAATTTTTCCAAGACTGCACACTCCCATAGCAACTCCCATCTATAACCACCTGAGCCATAAATTCCACTGCACTCCAAACCCCGTATCAGCGCGTATTTATCGCAACTGCCCATTTGACGGCACGCTTCATTAAAAGAACGGATTAAACCGTGCCCCGACGACAGGCCAGTAAAAATTACGTTCACCTGTTCCGTACCCCGCGTCTCCTTTCATTCTATTTACTCAACACAGCTCATAACCCTCGGCAACCGTTCCCCCGTTCACCGCCATTTCACGTCCAATATCCCAACCAAATTCCCGAAAACATGGCGCGTTATCCTTCACCATGAACAACCGCAGTGCAGCCTGCACCATAAAGCGAATAATTTCGCACGGTCACCATGGGCCAGTTTGCCGATGGCCGTTTCTGTCGTGTTATTAAACTTTACTCTCGTCGCGGTTTTCGACGTGATCATTTAACACGCGCATAGCGCGCGCCATTTAACTGAAATTTTACGCCACGGCTACACTCTATCGCTCTGCCAGTCGTTACACCGCGCGCGTGCTCGCGGAATCGCGCTAATTGATTAATGGTCAACACATGCGTAGGCAGCATGCTAATTCGACCTGATTCTCCAACGTGTGCCGACACCGTTAACGCTCCCATGAAATCTCCCGTCGCCATAATCCCGTGACTATGGTGTCCGTGTGGTCACACGATGCAATTTGACAGCAAGTAAGTCGTGACCAACTTACATTCGATATTATAGTCATTTGGTGGAGTTACAGGCTTCTCGTAGAGCTCTGTGAGCCCTCTGTAAGGAAAGAAGAGGAGATGGGTGAACTTATGGCTGACCCCACCCCTCCATAGGGTTTCTGTCATATTTGACAGCAAGAAACGTATCGTGACCAACTTACACTCGCTATTATAGTAATTTGGTGGAGTCCCAGGCTTCTCGTAGAGCTCTGTGAGCCCTCTGTAAGGAAAGAAGAGGAGATGGGTGAACTTATGGCTGACCCCACTCCTCCATAAGGTTTCTGTCATATTTGACAGCAAGAAACGTATGGTGACCAACTTACACTCGTTATTATAGTAATTCAGAGGAGTTCCAAGCTTCTCAAAGGTCTCTGAGAACCCCCTATAAGGCAATAAGAAGAGGTGGATGAACCTATGGGGTTTCTGTCATATTTGACAGCGAGAAACCTATCGTGACCAACTTACACTCTCTATTATAATAATTCGGAGGGGTCCTAGGCTTCTGGAAGGTCTCTGTAAGCCCCTTATAAAGAAAGGAGAAGAAATGGAAGGACCTATAGGATATCCCCCTCTCCATGGGGTTTCTGTCATATTTGACAGCAAGAAACGTATCGTGACCAACTTACAGTCGGCATTATAGTAATTCGGAGAAGTTCTAGGCTTTCAAACCGACTCTGTGAGCCCCCTATAAAGAAAAGAGAGGAAGTGGAAGAACCTATAGTGTATCCCCCTCTCCATGGGGTTTCTGTCATATTTGACAGCAAGAAACATATTGTGACCAACTTACACTCGCTATTATAGTAATTCGGAGGAGTCCCAGGCTTCTCAGTGGTCTCTGTGAGCAGAGAGGAGAGACGACGAATGAACCCCTGTGAGAGATCCCCCCATGAGGGTTCCTGTCGTATCGAAGATGTCTGGTGGTTCCCGAGGGCTGTCGCCTGTTGGCAGTCTGATGGTTGTCTTGCTATTATAGGTAGCATATAGAAGGGATGCGTTTCGTCCTGGGCCTGTTGCTAGACTCGTCAGCAAGAGTACCTAACAGACCCTGCCTTAGACCCTGGACACGCTTAGGCAGGATAGGAACTTGTATTTATGGTAGTCGAGGGTTCATCGTGGACTCGCGAAAAGTCCTCGAAGCTCCTTAAATTTGGAATTCGTCTAGTGACGAGGGTTATATGTCATCAGGAGTCTAAGACACTATACCGAATTCTGTCTTTACTCTATAATCAAAAGTGGATCGAAGAGTGGAAATGCAGTATTATTGCAAAAGATAGTCCTCAGGGAAATATCTCACTCGTGTTCCTTCTTATCAACCATTCTTCGTATTAAAGGGATGAACATAGTCTTCAAAGGTGGGGGGTAAAATCATTAAACAGATTGTTAATTTCTCATAAAAATTCTTACATGGTTCCATTTCACAGATGAGGAGGTATATTTTGGAAGAAAGAATTTTTCTCCAATCCTTTTGTATCTTGAGATATTCCAAAAAGTATAATTTCGATTTGAGGGCTTTTCTCACCCCTTTAATGTATTACGTATGTTGCATAAATTATTGTTTGCGTATGTTAAACAAAGTAAAGTTTACTCTGCGAACGAAAATTGTTCGCCATCAGAAACAATATCGTGGAATAAATTTGTGGGATATTAATCACAGGTATTTTATTGGATATTTAATTATACTAAGTGGAAAAAATGGTGGGTAGATTGCGTAATACGGCGTTAATATCCTAATACAGACTTCAGAATCGCTCTAGTCAAATTTATCGAATGAACGAGACCAGCGGACGTATTTGCCTCTCAAACATCGATACATCATCCACCATCTGAACCTCCTATCCCGATTAATCGCTGGAAAACCCATTTCCATCCCCGACACCTGCAAGAAATCAGTAAAATTCACCCCTGCAAAACACGCGTGCAGCGAAGTGCTGGCGCCCTTTGACCTCGCTTTTTGCCCACACCCGATAACCATATGGTAATTCTTGTTACAGGAATGTTCCGAGAATGCGTTGAATTGATTGCGTTTCCACGAGTTTCGGCTTTGGGAATGGACTCGACCGTGGCGCTGCTCCTTCTGACCGGTGAGTTGACAAATTTGATCAGTACTATTGCGTAACTCGTGGTGTCATTTCCTGAGCTGAGTGATTAAATGAATTTACCAATTTCCAATATTTTTCGGTATTTTTTGGCGGCTGGGAAAAGTTTGTTTGTTGGATTCTTAGGGTCATTCGAATCTAAGCGAAGTATGACTCTGAATTAATTCGAACTTGAGTCAAGTGTGCTTCAAACTTAATTGAAGTGCAATTCGAAGTTGAGTGGAATCTAATTTAAGGCTAATTCATAGTTAATTTAGATCGAATTCGAGGCTATTTCATAGTTAATTCATAGTTAATTCAAGGCTAATTGAGATTTACCTCAAACTTAACTCAAGGCTAATTCTGGGCTAATTCAAAAGTAACGCAAATCTAATTCAAATGTAATTTAAAAGTAACTCAAACTTAATTCAAACGTAACTCAAACTTAACCCAAACTTAACTCAAAGATAATTCAAACTTAATTCAAGACAAACTCAAATTTGAGTCAGACCTAATTCAAAAAAGTAACTCAAATCTAATTCAAACGTAATTCGAAAGTAACTCATACCTAATTCAAATGTAATTCAAACTTAACTCAAACTTAACTCAAAGATAATTCAAACTTAATTCGAGACAAACTCAAATTTGAGTCAGACCTAATTCAAAAAAGTAACTCAAATCTAATTCAAACCTAATTCGAAAGTAACTTAAACCTAATTCAAATGTAATTCAAACTTAACCCAAACTTAACTCAAAGATAATTCAAACTTAATTCAAGACAAACTCAAATTTGAGTCAGACCTAACTCAAAAAAGTAACTCAAATCTAATTCAAACGTAATTCGAAAGTAACTTAAACCTAATTCAAATGTAATTCAAACTTAACCCAAACTTAACGCAAAGATAATTCAAACTTAATTCGAGACAAATCCAAATTTAATCCACACCTAATTCAAATTTGAATTCAATTCGGGACTAATTAAAACTCAATTCGAACCTAACTCAGATTTAACTCAAAACTCTCAGGGACCACACCTAAATACAGAGGCACTAAAGAAAATCGGAATAGGTGTATTTAAATACAAAAAAATGATCAAAAATATAGAATCAAAATTCGAAGAATCTCAATAGACAAAATTCCAATAAAAATAATGCTAACTTACCCAAAGAACTCCCTAAAAAAAAAAAGAAAAGAATAGAAAATACCTAACCTCAAAAGTACCTCTCCTTAAACACCTAACCCACCATTCCATAGGACTCCCTACCCCACCACGTGACACCAACATACAACCCAAGATTCCCATAAAACCGGAGAACAATTCGCAACAGCAATCACTCCCCCCGCCCCCTCCACCTTCCAGAGACCCCGAAAATTAATCCAAAGACCCGGCAACAATAACGTTCCCTATAATCCGATAAACTCGCAGTCACGGCACGATTCATCACCGCGCCCCATCCAGCGCGATCGAAACCCCCCTCTGACGCAACGAAATTCACTGTCTCGATGGTTGCCGAAAAATGTTCACCCCGACGGGGGCCAGGTGAAGGGGTAGAATGGCCGATTGCCAAGGACAATGGGGAATTGGCAGAGCTCTGGCGTGTCCGGCGCTGGGCTTATTCCCGTCTGAAGCTCGCGCCACCTTCCACCCCTCTCTCGCCGCGATAATAGCCGGGGGTTGAAGAAAGGGGTCTGTGTATCCTGGGGACGCGCTTGGTGCTTCAACTGTGTCTAGATTAATGGCCAGATAGCGGTCTTGTTATATGGGAGCAAGGTAAGACAATGAGCCGGCCAATCTGCCATCTTTTTCGAAAGGGTGTAATTTGAAATCCGCCTCGTGTGGCGGGAGGGAGAGGGCGGGGGGGGGAGGGGGGAGGGGCGAAGAGGATGACGTCGATAACGTTGTTTCTGGCGGCGGGGTTGATCGATTGGTTTATTGAAAAATTGATGTAGATGGGGTAGATAAGATCGAGGTCTGAATTTTTCGTGGGTCTGGGTTAGGGATGGTGGGCTTCGGTCTTGGTTCGGGGTTGATGGGCTATGAATGAGTAATAGCGAGGCGGATTTTAACCCTCTGTAATGGGACGTGTCTCGATCGACGTTTGATAGGAAAATTATTGGGGTTAATGGTGAATGCTGAGATTGAAGTGATGCAATGATAGGATAATGTATGGAATATGCACGATATATACGGTATACATACTGTAGATGATATACATAATATAGATACATATATATAATGTACACAATATACACAATGTACACAATATACACACTTATACATAATATACACAATATATAGAATATGCAGAATATACAAAATATACATAATATACAAAATAAACAGAACATTCACCCACATACATAATATACATAGTGTACTTGATATACATGATATACAGAATATACAGAATATACAAAATATACGTAATATACACAATATATAGAATATGCAGAATATAAAATATGTACATAATATACATAATGTACACAATATATAGAATATGCAGAATATACAAAATATACATAATATACAAAATAAACAGAACATTCACACATATACATAATATACATAGTGTACTTGATATACATGATATACAGAATATACAGAATATAGAAAATATACATAATATACACAATATATAGAATATGCAGAATATAAAATATGTACATAATATACATAATGTACACAATATATAGAATATGCAGAATATACAAAATATACATAATATACAAAATAAACAGAACTTTCACACATATACATAACATACATAGTGTACTTGATATACATGATATACATAATATAGAGATCATGCACACATGTACATAATATACACAATATATAGAATATACAGAATATACAAAATATACATAATATATATAATATAGAGAACATGCACACATGTACATAATATACACAATATATAGAATATGGAGAATATACAAAATATACATAATATAAATAGTGTACTTAATGTACATGATATGCATAATATATAGAATATACCAAATATACATAGTATACTTAATATACATGCTATACATACAATATACGTAATATAGATAATATGTAGAATTTACATAATACACATATACATATACGTAATATACAGACTATACAAAAATATACAGGATGACCCAGAATTAGTGATGCAAATAGAGTGACATGGTTTCTCTGAACCAAAATAAGAAGATTAAAAATTTTCGGAATTGCATCGAGAGATCTTTTTTTGAAAAAAAAAAAAGAATTTATATGAAAATCAGTCGAGTATACTCTATTGATGATACATAAAATCCTGACTCTATTTCATCCACTAATTTTAGATATAATTGCTTGATATAGTAACAGTTTAATATATATTATATATTAAATAAGACACTTCCATTCGTTAATTTATTATATTTTATTATACTTCACTAATATAGCAATACTAATGTTATCGCCAACTTTGTATTATAATAGAGAAGCTTTAATTTTAATTTCCAATTCGCAAAACGTAAATACACTCTCGTGTCATAATTCAATCAAATGTACGTCAATAATTCAAAGAGCACACGGGTAAAAATGCAGTGAAATTTTTAATAACATTCCGAAATATATTTTCCGCGACGAATTACTGGAAATGAAGCGTCGAATATTATTTGGTTAGCCAAAGGGTTGTTCTTCTCCGAGATTAAAGGGTGCATTGCAGAATTCGAAAGCGTCCGTTATTTAATTATTAATTAGCATAATTATCACCGCATTATTATTGCATCGTTATGCTCCATTTTGTTCAACATCTGCGATTGCAATATCGCGAAACGATAAAATTGACTGTATCGCGTATAAATTATTCGGCCAATGTAAATTAACAAAATTAAACCCCATAAAAGGCCAAAATCGAAGCAATCTATCCGATATAGTGATTTCAATTCTCGAGAACAGAGCTTTCGAAGGAATCGCGTTAATCGGAGAACGCGATTTCAAATTTGCAAAATTTAAGTTTCGACGATCCGTAGCGTCGAGAAAAGGCGGGAAAAATTTGAAAAAGAAACGGGGGCACTTGTTTCGCGTCTAAATTACATTTTTCTCTTTGAACGTAATCAAATTCGAAGCATTTTCACCTTAAACGTAACCGAATAACGACCGTGACTTGTGAAATGAAGTACCTTGTCTTGAGTTGGTTGAGGTTGAAATATTTCGAAAGCCACGAGCACGGATGCAAATTAGGAACGCATGGTGGATCATCATTTGCGTAATTTTAATTCCCGTATTTAGTTCTACTTGCTCGGCATTTGTTTGTTCTTCTACATTTTAATCAAGAACAGGATGCGTGTTTACGCTTGGAGCATGCGGTTTTCAATAAAACTTCGACGTGCAGCCCCCCTCCCCTCTTTCTCCCTTTTAATTTCCCTGAAAATATTCGTTTTAATGCCTCTGTGTTTTATCCGGACTAAAAATGATTAGATATCGATCGAGATTCGTCGCACGAAGGAAGAAATACTCGATTCTTGCATTTTCCACTAGAGTATCTAGATCTGGTGATATTCCTCGATGTCGTTTGATATAATTTTCGAGCTAAAAAGGCTGGGATTTTGGGGGGAGGTTTCGATCGTGGTGTTCATTCGTCGTGCAATAAATTCGCGACGTTATACGACTTCGTATTAAAATCCTACCCAACCGAATAATTACTCCTGTCAGCAGCACGCGATATTTGAAATACAAAATGTACCGTATCAACCAGGGGGGGGACAAAGATAAAATCGAGAGTTCCTATTGTTTGATATAGTATTTCGCGTTTAATTCAAAAACCTTATCTCTTGTCTACCCCCATATCCAGCGTTATATAGAACTCGATGCGTGTAAACAATGAGCCAACGATAAATCAAAATGTGTATATTAATTTAGAATCTATAATTTCGGTTTTTGTAGAGAGCTTTAGTATGTTTCTTTTTCAATTATGTCATATTGATTGAGGAACTATCTCTGTTTGAAGTGTGCAATCCAATTCCTGAGATAGGATACAATT